GCTATGTCACTTGAGAAAAGCTTTTCCTAAATGTTTATTGTACGGAATAGTGACTCAACTATCAAAGGAAAAGTACATCAATTTCTCCTAAAGTATAATTCGCACTTAATGAATTAATTAATTAATGTATTGAACCTAGCCTTTCATTTTGTTACCCAAATAAATAAAAAGGAGAATGACATAGTTATTCATAAAAGCAGAATTATTAACTTTTGTCTATCCATTTGTTTTTCTACACACAAATTAATTACATTTTCTATCCATAGTAATTTTATGGGAAATTTTCTCTTTTTTCTCCGATTCTTTTTTATTACTATGTTTTTTTTCCTTTTTCCTTTTTTCTTCTTATTTTTTTTATTTTTTCCTTTTCTAATTTTGTTTAACTTTTTTTTTTATATTCTTTTCTCTTCATAATCTAATTTCTATTCACTTTTTTTTAATATAACTAGTATGATATACTTTTGTCCTATTTCTCATTTTTTTAAATTCAATTATTAAATTAAAATAATATCAGTTGCCACTTGATCNAGTTTGCTTTAAGTTGGCCTTTAAATAATAAAAGTGAGATGAGCCTCGCCAAACAAAATACATAAATCGCGGGGCCCTCATTAGATGCTTAATTAAAAATACTTAGAATTCGGGACGTGCCGTTTAGCGAATTTCACGGCCTCCCGCAAAGATAATAATACGTTAGTCGCTTTAGGCGCGCTTTTTTAATAATTTTACCTTCCTAAATACGGGTGTGCATTTCATGCGACCCAAATCCAAATCCAAAAACGTTGAATAAAAATGTGTCGAGGATCCGGGTGCATTTCATGTGACGTGATCCGAAAACATGTTTTTTTAAACGACGTTCACTTTCTTAAAAAATCAACTAAAAGCGGCAAATAATCTTAAAATTGCATTATAGGTTGGAGCATGTAAGAAAATCAGATTTTAGCCATTTATAATAATTTAAGCGACCGTGCTAGAACCACGGGATCCGGGGGTGCCTAACACCTTCCCTCGGGTCAACAGAATTCCTTATTCAGAATTTCTGGTTCGCAGACTCCAATTGGGAAGTCGAAATTTTTCCTCGATTTGGGATTCAAGTTAAACCGGTGACTTGGGACACCAAAAGTCAATCCTATCCCAAGTGGCGACTCTAAAAATAAATAAATAATCCCATTTCGAATAATATCACTTTAAATGGAAAAACTCCCTTATACATTATCCTTCGGGGTAGGTGTGTAAAAAAGGAGGTGTGACACAAAGTAAAAAGTAAGTGTGATTTGCTACCGAACTTTGTGTTCGCTGAAACACTGGGGTTTGAAGTACCACTACACCAGTGTGTAATTCGTTCTATCCTGGGAGGAAATAATCCATAACCTTGGGTACTAGGAGGGGATTAAATTCCTTAAGGAAACACTGTGAATTCAGTGGGCTCGAATTGGTTTTATGTCATTTCTGTTTATGTTCATTTCTGTTTATATTCATTTATATTTCCAGAATTATTTTACAAATACAGTTTACTAACAATTGTATTGTATTTTGTTGTGTTAGATAAATTTGTCATAACTTTCAGGGTAATTTCATTTTTACATATGATAATGGTTATTAGAACTTTGTCCATAAACAAAAAATCAGAAAATCGAAAACGTTAGTTAACACAAAACATAAAATGTTAAAATATTTTGAGCACAATGTTTTTTTTTTTGTCCTTAAGTAATTTAACTCTGCCACTGTTACTCAAAGTACTTGGATTAATTTCTCATGGGATAAAAAAAAATTATTTTGTAATAGCGGTAATGTAAATTACATAACTTCATTGAACACAAATGGCAGAGCAAATCACATACTGGATACTTGCGTTATACTTTTTGAACTATAAAAAAATGAAGAAAGAGAAGAGAGTTTGTCAATTTTTGATGGTGAAAAATAAAGTCAAGCCTCTAAATTTATAGCCAATAAGTTAGAGTTGAAAGGGTGTGAAAATGCATTTTCGAAAACAATATTGTATGTTTAGAAACAAGGTTGTGTGAAAATGCATTTTCGAAAACAAGGTTGTATGTTTAGAAACAAGGTTGTGTGCCTATTCGAGAAGAGTCCGAAACTGAAATGATGCCTTTTTGGACATAAAATACGTTTTTATAATTAAAAAAAAAGTTACATTTCTACATAAAACGCAGTATAATACTGTGTTTACTTTAATGGAAAGTTAGCCGTAAAGGAAAATGCAGTATTATACAACGTTTAAGGAAAATGTAGTATTACACTGTGTTTTTATATAAAAAAATATAACCCCTCCTTCTTCCCCACGACAGAACCAGTCGACTTTGAACGAAACCCCCCCCCCCACCACCATTCTGCTGGTCCCCCACCTTCGATTAAAAAAAAAATTCTTGGGTCTCACCCGTCACACAAAAGGTGAAGAGCGTAGGTCCCGCATACAACCCAAGCCTTGGATTCCTTCTTTCGGGTCAAAATTTCAAATTTTCGATATTTCAAAAAACATAAATCGAGGTATTCCGATTTAGTTTATGTCGAAACTCGTAGAGCATATGCATATTTGTTTTCTTGAATGTGTTTCCAAGTTGATTTGTCTTATGTTTGCGATTAAATTTGTATGTTTTTTTTACCCGGATTAAATTATTAGTTAGTGTTTTTAAAAAATAGTTAAAACTTGAGAAATTATTTTTATTGTTAATGAAATTGTTCACAAATATCTTTTACTCTTTTATATGTAATTTCGTGAATGTTATGTTCATATGTTTGTTGTTTTATTTAGTTTAGAATATTTATTTGCTTAAAGAATAGTGGCCTTTTAGCGTACTAAAATATAGAGCTTTTTATCGTAGTAAAATATAGAGCCTTTTAGCGTAGTAAAATATAGAGCCTTTTAGCGTAGAGTCTCTGTAGTTTAAGTATGTACTAACTACAAACTCTATCCAATTACACTTTACAAAATTAATTATTTAAGTTTTGGTTGATGATGGTGGTTCATGCTAATAGCTAGTAGTGATTGGTAGTGGTGGCAATTATGATTGAGGATGGTGGTGGTGGATGGTGATAGTTAATAATGGCGGGTGGTGGTAGTAGTTGTGACTGAGAAAGGTGGTGGGTGGGTGGTGGTAGGTTATAATGATGGGCAGTGCCGGCTGTAGTTTTTGATGGTAATGGGGTGGTCAGTTGTGGTAATTGAGGTGGATGAGTGTTGATTGTGGGTGAGAATGATGGTGGGAGGAGTGGTGGAGATATTGGGTGGTGATGGTCAATAATTGTGGCGGCTATGATTGAGGATGATGGTGGCGTGGTGGTGGTGGTAGTGGTGGTGGCGGCGACGGCATGGTGGTAGTTGATAACGGTAGGCGGTGACGGCAGTTAATAATGAATATGTAATAGCATCTTAATGAAATTAAGTCTCTGTTATATATCTTAATGATACAGACCTATTCAGACCCATTAAGTGGTTGTGAAGTAAAAAAAACAAACACACTTAATGATTAAGATCTGAATAATTAAGATTCTAACTTTAAAAACAAACGCATTTAATGTCTGAGATGTGAATGATTAAGATTCGGACCTCTATTAAGTGCAAACAAATGAGGCCCAAGTTACAAATAACAAATTAATGCCACATGTCTGGTTAGGATAATTTTCCGGGCCAAGTTCACCAAAGTTGTACGAAAGTTGGCAATAACTTTCACAAATAACCCCAAAAGCAAAGTCGTCTTCCTGTAATTGTAAACAAATCGGGTGTCAAAAATAATGGAGGTAAATAACGCAACTTGCCTGCTTCCAATTACTGAAGCTTCTATCTTCTCCTATTAGCTTTGCAGAAGAAATACATGAAATTTTAAAATGTTGTTATATAAATCTAAAGATTGTCACAACATACATTTGTGAAGTTCATGAAGGAGGACGAATGGATGATATGTTTTTAGGCTGATAAGCTTTCAAAGAAGAGATGCATGGGATACCTTACGTGAATCCAACATCTAGGGGGGAAGGGGGGGGGGGGGGGGTAGCTTGGATCAAAATATGATATAGAACAAATTCAAGTGGTATATTCGACTTTGGGATCAATATGATGTTGCTCAAAGAAGAAATCATGAAGTCTAAAGGACCAAATTAAATTTTTTGCAGAAAACGTATTTTTGGTTACAAAATATATACAGTGACAAAAACAAAATGGAGGAGAAACTAGAACTGAAAAAAAAAAAAATTGTTACTTGGTTATGAGATTATATGCCATCGTGAGACTTTACCGGCAGCTACCCCATGATTCCTCTACATGAGGCTGCCATAAGGGCATTGTGAGGCGCAGAGGAGTGATTATATAGCCAAGTAATAGAGGCAATACTACTGGTGATATTGTCCCCCTTATTTGTACTCTTCCTATGTGGTTTTTTTTTCTTTTTAGTATTAATAAAACTAGCCCTAGGCACCTGCATAGTGGATTTGCTTTAAAAAAAAAAAAGAAATTGAAGGACCTAACCTTAGGCTGCTTCCATTGTGAAATTCAATAAAAAAGAGTTTCTAAAGTGAAGCAAATATAGGTAAAGAGAAAACCAATCTTACAATGATATGTTTTCTGGCATGGGATAGGTTAGATTATATTTTCAAAATACTGGCCGACCTGCCAAAACTGTTTCTTTCATTGGGCGTGCACATTGTGAACCTTGAATAGGTATGAGAATTTCCACCTTTTAAGCATCTCGACTAGTTTCACAGGATACCGACTATCTTCCACCAACACAAGTACTGACTAACTTAGTTCACCAACTTTGGACAAATGGAAAAAGATCACCCAGTATTTTTTTGCTCGGAGCTTTTTTTTTTTTGGCTCTAGTGTTGCCATTTTCCCATGTGATGTGAACAAAAGTAGACATGACAACTGTTGCTCCTTGAAACAATGATGGTGGATGAAAGATCTCAAGATTACTTTTAAGGTGAAAATAATGGGCCAAAATAAGTATATCTGGGAACAAAATTTAAGAAACTTAAAAAGCCTAAAGACATTCACTACATACGAAACATTGCTAAATTATTCATCAAGAATAATAATCACATTAACGTCTGACTTGTTTACTACAATGTTATTCACTCTCATAGAGTAACTCTTAGAAACTGCTTTCAACAAGTTGTCAGAAAAGATAACTTAAAGTGAAAAATAACATAAGATTGCAAAATGAATAATGTACGAGCATAAGGTAACATAGAATACGACATTCAGATATGAATTGAATGATTGGGGCATGTTGAAACACAAACCGTCATCAACGCCTTCCAGATGCCACTGATTCAGTAGAGAAGAGATACTTCACTCGTGAAAGAACAGAGTCATGGGCAGGATCATAGGGATGGTCCTTTGAAGGAATCTCCAGAATGGCTGGAATTGGTTTGTTGTAGCTATCAACCAAAAATCTTATCATGTTGGCAACCTAAAAAAGAGAGACCAATGAGTGGTAATAGGTAGACTCAGATATAGTCTCTTTCGGAACCTGGTTTTACTACAAATAGAAGGAAGAAGGTGCCACCCGCTACCTTTGTAATGCATATATAAAGCACACCATACTCTGTTGAAGAACGACAACAACAACAACAACATACCCAGTATTATCCCACACCGTGGGGTCTGGAGAGGGTAGTGTGTACGCAGACGTTACCCCTACCTTGTGAGGATAGAGAGGTTGTTTCCAATAGACCCTCGGCTCAAGATAGTATAAGTACCACATTAACGAAAATATAGGCAAGAAGGGACAGTATCAAAAAGCCATATAAAAGCAGAACAAAACAACAAGACAGTAAAGTGATCAACAATGAAAGAAAACAACGGTTAGTCATAAAACTGCTAGTAGAAATAGTTCATGCTAATATCTGCTAGTAGACTGAATTGCAATGTCAAAAACATAAAAGGAGCATATCAGCACCTATTCCACACTGTATCAAAATTCTTCCTTGAGGACTGCTTTGAGATGGGAAGTACTAAACCAAAATAGTTATTCAACAGCTTTACTGTGTTTAACGTAAGGGGGAGGGGGG